AAATGGGCCATGACACCTACACTAACTATATGGCCGGAAATATGTGGACAACCCTTCAAATTGTTGAGTTGAGGTGTTTCCAGTGAAGATCATGGAGAATGCTACAGTATACAAAGATTTTCTGTTCCAGCATGACTGTGCCTCTGTTTACAAAACCAGCTTCATAAAGACATGGTTTGACGAGTGGAGGAACCTGGCCTGCACAGAGCCCTGACCTCAGTTTTGGGATGAATCGGAAGGTTGATTCAGAGGCAGGTCTTCTCATCCAAAATCTTCTGGTAAACCTCCCCCTTTTGTTATAGCTACAAAAGGTTGGAGGGGACTCCATATTAATGCCCATGGTTTTGGATTAGGATGGCAAACAACTCATATAGGTAGGGCGGTGAGGTGCCCACAACCTATTGCCTATATCGTGTATACTGAACTAATTTTTAAAGCAGATCTTGCACCCAAATGCCAGGTCTGCTTATTAACTAGCAATGCACACCACCATGGAAAAACACTGCATTCTGAACACTATATAAAACACTGGGCATGATGGTCAGAAGGAGTGGAACAGGGCAGAAGGTGTGCACCCAAAGTACTGTTTAGAGTGTGAGCCATACACCTAAAGCCCTCAACTGGTTAGTGTTGCACTGATCAACTACATATATGAGATAATTCTTGTACAAATCATTCTGAATTGAGAAAGCTGGTTGGATGACCAGTGAAACGTCTTCAAGGAAAAATACAGCAAGTCCAGTTGCCTTGACTTATTTTTTACAGATATACCATGACCTGGATGAATAAAAACACTCACAGATACATATATGAGAGCTGTTTTTCTGGCTAAACGATTTCTAGCCCTGTCTGTCCAGCCCTGAGTTATACACAGCTCTGCTTCAGAGCACAGCCCTGTTTGGCAGGGCAAAACATGAATTTCTTTAACTACCTCCCGGCCAGCCGCTGTGTATACACGGCCTGCCGGGAGCTTCTTGGATGTAACTGGTCGTTGAAAGCTCTATCTGTCCCCAAAAAATGGTATAAAATTCATTTCAGTACAGCGTTGCGTGACGGAATAAATGTCAGTCAAAGTACCGCAGCGCTGAACACTGAAAAATGGCCTGGCCAGGTAGGGGATCTAAACACCTGGTCTTCAAGCGGTTAATCAACGGGTCTCCTCCCGTCTATCCTGTGACTAGACAGTGAAAGAAGGGGCAGCACGCTAACAAGCTTATCGCTGCGTCATTCTCTTTGCCTATCAGCATGCTTTTTGCAGTGAACTACACCTGATTGGCTGCTTTTCACTCTCTCAAGTACTTGCCTACACTGCTTGCATTCAAAAATAAAACATTTAATTATGTATTAACCTGTACAGGGCTGCAAAGACTTGAGTCTTATCTGCCTGGAGTTCAGCTTTAAACTGTATTGGTGATCCTATACATTAGCCTGCGTGCCAAAGCAGCATTCCGTGACCGCTATAATGGCTAAATGCAAAGTATACTGTAATGCACAAATATTTATTGGTGATTTTTACCAGCCTGGATAATGAAAAGTATGACATCATAAATTCAAATTTGGAAAAAGTGAATGATCGCAATGCTGGTTTCCTCTAATAAATGCTCAGTCTCTACATTCCCTTCCATTAGTCACAGATTAGCAGATAATGGACACAAGGTTATATTCTCCTTCGTACACTTGCCTCTTCTTCGAAGTCATTGCACAAGAACTGACAAGTTGTTTTTGTTATTCCGGTTATGTATGTTCGGTCGTTCATGAGCACAATTTTAATAAAAAGTTCCTGCTTGTTTATTTGTCTAATGCCGGTTTATAAAAGAGAGACTGCACCGCAAAGACACATTCAACAAAAAAAGCTTTTGTTACCTCAGAAGACTTGTACAAACTTTACACTGCATGCACACAATCTCGTAACATGGGTAAAGCGAAACGCCAAGCCAAAATTAACGGTAACCAGTCTCGTTAAAAAAAATATATTCCAGTTGACTTTGAGGGTTGTTGGGAGGATCTAAGTAGAGATCGTTGTAAAAATTTTCATCTGCATTTCTGAAATGCCAATAGGCAGATGGCTGCCCTCCACTTCACTATCAGTGGTCCATCCCACCTACTCACTCATCTCCTACCCAACACAGAAGCACACATAAAAGGGGGCAATGTGGATGCAAAAAGGTCAATATTTGCATACGTAAGCATGAATACCATTTGCGACCGGTTAAAAGCAGATAAAAAGCCCGATTTAAGGACATCTCATTTGCTAAAACACTAGCAGGGTTATTCACAAAAGGGTGAAGAGTTTGGAGAAGGAAGGAGAAGTGAGCAATCTAGGACAACATCGCTGAACTGGAAAGTGAGCTGAATTGGAGAAGTTTTCCAAATCTGCTATGTTGTCCTAGATTGTTCACTTCTCCTGCCTTCTCCTGCTTCTCCTCACTTCCTCCTGTGTCATAAAAAATTGCCATGTTTTGTTCGAAGTTATCTTTTTTTTTCACCCTTTGTTGCCTCTCACTGATGTGGATTTCCTGCAGGTCTATAGTGGCGGCTGCATGGGATTGCTTTGGGCCGGCTTCCTGATAGGTACAACAGTGGACCACACCATGGTCACAGCCACTAACAATCCCCACAAATTGCATGTGGCAAGGTGACCGCACAGGTTAGCAATTGGAAGTCAGGGAGAGAACATTGCAACCATATAACAGGAAATGTCTGTATAGGACCACCATGATAGGAGACCCAAGTATTACTTTAGTGAAAATTGCAGATTTATAAATCTTGACAATTACATTTTTAATTACATTAAGATGTTAAAGATTGGGTTTTCATCTACTTTAAATGTCTCAGAAGAAATGCTCTTCCGTGCGATTCACTATACAAATCTTGAGTTGCTCCAGATGTCAACATATGGCCCCACTCCCTCCTTCAGACATAACCCTGAGCTTGATTTTAGGAGAATTCCATAACAGCGTGCCCCAGTTTTAGGGCTCCGCAGGCATGGAAAGCACATGCAGGACCCTCTTTTCTGGTTTGTAGTGAACTTAGGTGTCCAATGGGTGGCCATTACCTTACAAGTCTGCTTTGGGCATTTACTAACAAGTCTGCTTTGTAAAGCCGTATCTGCAATAATTTCTCAAGGAGAATTTCCTGAAATCTCTCTACCTGTACTTTCTACTCCAGTGACATAATTAGAGGACACAGAACTAGAATTCAAAAAGGTAGTGGCAAGGAAGCAAGCCAATAGGATGTGTGACTTGGCATAATTCAAAGTATAGCTCCAGCCAAAACAATATTTCAATGTTTGGACTGAGTGGGGAAGAGTTTGAAAATATGTCAGGTTTTTATCGCCATCGGTGACCCCGGGGAGATAGAACCTCATTATTTGTCCTGAGGGCCATTGTCATGAAAAGCAAAAGAGAGGGATCCAAAATTTTACAGTTGCCATAGTAAAAGAAGAGAGGATATCTTGGAACAGGGAAGCATTATTCAGAGTTGACTATCAGAGGCGGATCTTCCTCATGTTGGAGAGATTTCCACTCACTTCCTGCTGTGTCTCTGGGGACAATGTTTGCAAAGAAGTCTCCCTAATAGGGTCTACAGACAGCAATAGAAATTAGGGATGTTCAGGTACCAGTGCCGATACTTGGCATTTTCATGAGAACTACCAGGGTTGCAGGGGTTGCAGCTGGGACCTAGCTCTGGTGCTCCACCACTGTCCTGAAATCATTAGTCTGTATTGTTTTAGAGAAACTGTCACATGACAATAAACAAAAATGTATCAGTACCGTATTTGCTGCCATATAGGGCAACTGGTCGTATAAGCCGACCCCCTAATTTTTCTGTTAAAACATAGGTTTTCGGCTATACTCGTCGTATATGACGAGTATAGCCCAAAATAATGTTTAAATACACCCACTAATCTCCAGGGCGGTAATCCCCGAGTGTGGCTCGGGGTTAATTTTCAGTACCATAAGCGGTAACCCTGAGCCACACTCGGGATTACAGTCTCTTACCTTGTCCACGATCCCTGATGTGTCCTCCATCTTCCGGGTTCTGTCCCTTGCGAGCGTACGCGTCAACCGGCGGCAATTTAAAAAAAAAATAGACCAAAAAACGAAAAAATAAAAATAAAATAATCAGACCGCCAGGGAGGCTAATCAGTCAGCCCGCTGGATGTGCGGTAATACTTAGAATATATCGCTCGCCGTGATTGGCTCAGCGCGGTATACTGTATGTAGCCAAAGCTACCGTACATACAGTATTACCACACATCCAGCGTACATTGTATTGTGTACCCGGCGTATAAGACGACCCCCGATTTTCGGGGGATGTTTTTAAGACTAAAAACTCATCTTATACGCCGGCAAATACGGTACTTGTATCTGTGAATACTTGGACAAGTATCAGTACTTGTAAAAATGGTATTGGTGCATCCCTTATATATATTTATTTAAAAAAATGAAAAAATCATACATTAAAACAGAGATGCACAAATCCCAGGAGCCCTGTATGCTCCTTAAAAATGACAGCTGCCTCCTAACTTTTGAATTTTTCTCTAGTCTAGTCTTGGAGCTGGAAAAGTATCTGTACATGTACTTGTACCGAGTACGGTACTTGGTATCGGTGTATCCATAATAGAAATCTCAGAGGTGCTAAACCTTTCCCATTTATTCTAAAAAATAGCTTTGTAAATGTACATTTGTAACCACAGCCCGATGTGGTCCTAGCACATGTGGCTAAAACAACCTTCCTACTTCTCATAAATCAGAATGTCAGTTCATTACATTACCCAGCAAGAAAGTCAGACAGCTGTTTGCCCCTTGGTGCAGAGTTTCATGTGAAGGTGGGGTTGGCTGTGCTGAGTTAGCTTTCGCTGCCATTAACACCTACTGTCAGAACGACCTCTTTAACATACTGTAATTAAGCCATCACTTTAAAGAAAATATAATATGTACAGGCTACTGAGCTAACATAGCACAAACAATATTATTTACAAGCAATGTGATACAAACCTTGCCCACAGCTCTCCTGGAGGGAAGAGGTCCTGGATGAATGGAGTTTGGTAGCCATACAGACAGATTAGGTGACCTCCAGCAAAAAAGCCAACCATAACGCTAAGGGTGTTTAATCCAATGTAGCTAATGGGTAAGTGGCAGGCCCACCATGTGCAAAAGCCAATAAAAACCAGGTAGTAGACGGCAGAAAAGGCAGAGGGGACAGTGATTCCTGTGTAAAAGAAAATGAAAAATATGATGTGGTCAGAGAAACTGTGATATTTAAAAGGACAATTTTACCTTTGAAGTAATCTTTTAATAAATCCTCCCACTCTCCTGAGCGGAGTCCATTATGGAGAATACTTACCTTTTTCCCCGATCCACTGATATTTTCTCCGAAAAGGTCCCACCTGGCTTCTTGTTACACTGCATATACTGTATGCGCCATGGCCTAATTCATTCCTTTACCATTCAGTGAAGTAGTCCTTTTATAAAGGCACCTAATCCCTAAACTGCAGTGCACCTGGTATAAAGCTGCCCATACACCTTACAACCATCGCAAGACTTTTGTCTTGCGATGGTCGTAAGCTAATTAAAAGCTTGTACGATCTGCCCATCTTGGACAGGCAGATCGTACTTGCGATCATCGAAAGCCCGCCCCGCTGAGGGGCGGGCGTCCGATGACCGCAATGCTGAACGGGCAGTGTCCGTGTGCGCACACCGGCCCGTTCCGCAGTTGTCGAGTGAGCAGGCTAGTAACCAGCCGACAATCGTACGATTCTTGGCGGGGTTTCTAGCATGCTGGTTCGACAAAAGGCGTGCGACCCTACAGTAAAATTGGTTGCACGCCTTCCATACAACTTGCGATTATGGTACGATCGTGGGATTTCCCGCGATTATCGTACAATAAATCGCAAGGTGTATGGGCACCTTAATACTTACCTTCCTCATTGATTCAGCTATCTTTCCTTGGACACTGTCCATGACTTCTCCTCTTCATACTGCTGCACAGCCTCTTTGTTACACTAGAAAGTCCCCTATGCACAGAAATCCCTA